GCACAAGGGCAGGGACCCAGTGAAAGGCAACTGAGATTATAATCTCAACAGTATAGACAACTCTCCTCTTTTCTTGCTTCATACGAATTATCTGACAGAGTYACAATAGACGCTGAGAGGAAAAGTGGAAGGGCAAGCTGACAGTCAATCCTCCTGATAGGGAGCAATCAATGCTGGTCAGGGTTCCTTCGGCCAGACGGAAGGAAGCGTGAGACTGTTTCACCATGTACTCCATTTTTGACTTGCCGGCGGAAAGGAACCGGACTGACGCTCCCCAGAATGGATATGGAGCCAGGACCATAAGGACCTGATTTAAATTGCAAAAAAAAAAAAAGAAAAAAAAAAGAAGATGGAAGGTTGGCCAATTGTGTGTGAGTGGGTGTGTGAATTGAGAGTAGCAGGCAGGCAATCCAAGCCTAGGTTGTATAGACTTGGTCCTCTGCCGTTCACTGTAGTTTCACTAGAACGTATGGGCCCTGTTGTGGTTCTGTCGCCTGTTTTGTGCTGCAACTATCCCATCAGTTGTTGTATTTCCCAATTCTATCCAATGAAATGGATTTGGGCGAATGCTGTGGCTCGGAAGTTGCTCAATTATTACATGTCAGTTGTGCAGTGATGGGCTCTGGCACATCCATCCTTTGTATTTTGACACTAGCCTGTGTTTTCTGTTATCTTCCTTGCTGCAGATCCCACGTTTCCGTACGATGTTGGCCACTAAGGATCCAATTGTGAGTGTGCCAGCTAACAGTGATGCACAGAGGCGGATACTCTTCTTCTGCAACTCAGTCTTTATGAGCATGCCTGAAGCACCTGAAGTCCGCAAAATGCTGCCTTTCTGGTATGTACTCGGACGTAACCTTACTTGTCAGTGTCCGACCTTTTGCATTCGCTAAGGCTACCCTTCGCTTCTAACTAGTTTGTGTTCTGGACCTAAAGTGAATCTTGTTTGTCATACATACCCTCAGTCTCCTCCTCTGTCCTCTCTTTCACTCTCTTCGTTACTCCGTGGTCAAGCCCTGCGGCTATGGCCGCCTCCTCCTTCCTCGTGGGACTGCACGGCACACGTCACAGGTACGTGACAACCAAACTTGTATCGCTCATCTCTCTCTCTCCCTCTCTCTCTCTCTCTCTCCGTAGCGATGTCTTCAACGCAGGTACGTAGTAAACCAATCTTGTATCGCTCAACTTTTCTCTCTCCCTCTCTCTCTCTCTCTATCTCTCTCTGTCTGTCTCTCTGTCTTCTTCTTCGTCGTGGTCTTCTCTGCAGGTGCGCGCGGCGGCTTCTTCAACCTCCAGGTCCGCTATGGCGGACTTCTTCGCCGTTGGCCACTTCGGCTATGGCGCGTTACTCTCCCTGCGGCGCACGACGATGCGTGTGGAATAGCGGGTACCAGCTCTGATACCAGTGAAATCAGACTCGCTCTCAATCACACTTCTCATGCATGCAAACAGGTGCGCAGCAAACTGGTGACAAGCGCCCACTCAAAACTCAGAGATATGGTAGTCGAGAACACAGCTCAGGTACAAGTTCACTTCAATGGCTATGGCGACTCAGCGCCCACACAACTGTCTGTTCGCATACACAGGATCACCGTGGATATCCCACACGCGATACTCTGTACACCCACACACTCACACTGCACGCTATCTACAGCTATGGCGGCTATGGCGGCTATGGCCGCTACTACTCTATCGCTATGGCTAAGCTACTTCTCTCTCGCCCACTTCGTCTTCGGGCTCACTGCAGACCACCTCGCACAAGTCGCTTATGGCAGCGCTTCCGCATGGCTCACGCAGGAATGAATGAATGGCTGGACACTGCCCTTTGATTTATACTTCTGTAGCTCGCTGGTCTGGCCCTTCCCCATGCCCGTGGTGCCCACAGTCCCATGCGGTACTTGCTTGACTGGACTAGGACTGACTGGGACGGGTACTGCTGACTGCATGGGTTTGCACTGCGAACTCAACGCAGTCGCAGTGTCGGCGTACTGCAGTTGGGCTCGCCACTTGCCCACTTGCCCACTTGCCCACTTGCCCACTTGCCTCAGTCTGAACGTGAGCAACTTCGAAAGGCCACTGCTAGGACCTTCCGGAAGGCCGTGGACTTGACCTTTCGATACTGTAGCAGCTACGACCTTGACCTTTCTGGACTGTAGCAGCTACGACCTTGACCCTTCGAGAAAGCTACAGCTACAACTTCTAGACCTGACGGAGACTCCTACTCGACAGGTCTACAGATCGAACCCCTGCTACTTACGGACCCTACGACAGCGTACCAACTGTTACAAATACACAGGTCACGGGTTCAACTCTAGGGGTCGACACAGATACTGTACACAGGTAAGGTGGGGACTAGGGATCGAGCCCTGGGATCTGCATCAGCTACTGCGAACTGGTGAATACCGTTTCAGAGAGAGAGAGAGACAGACAGAGAGAGAGAGAGATTCTTATTTTTTTGTGTGGGGGGGTTATTTTCCAAATACCCCCGTAAGTTGAGACATATGTCAAAATGTCCCTTAAGAGATATGGGCACAGTGGAATGGGCTTTTGGGCTGACATGTTTGTGTTATGCCCCTGTCTGGTGAGTGTGCGAATTCGCTTGGCCTTTTGCAGTTGCGCCTACGAAAACTTGGCAACTGCCGGGGCATTTTGCAAAGTTGGGCAGCGTCCGGTATGGGGACATTGCAAAGATGGAGTCCAGCTGATGACTGGGGTGTTTCGCAAAATGTTTTTGTCATCGTCCTTCGCCGCAGCTACGCGGGTCCACTTGTTGTATATTATAATAAGACAGGGTAGGGGATAGTATGCGGGAGATAGAGGTAGGTAGGAGGGGTTACAGGGGGGAAGAGGAGATAAGTGGGGGGAACTAGATCATATAATGACTAAAAAAGTATGTAAATACGAATGTTGGGGCAAGGTGAGTGTTAGTAGTTATGGACTACTTAATATGAGTAGTACAGTACAGGTTGGCTACAAGGGCTCGACGAGGTTATGGGGTTCAGAGTAGAACAGAGCGAGATCGTGAGGGGTAGAATTAACAACGTGAAGAAGGATGTGCAAGGGAATGAGCGATAGCGAGATTCAGAAACCAGGCTGCATCATACATTGAAACCAGATAGTCTTTTACCTCGAACCGAATTGCAGAATTGCAACTCGATATACACCAAATAAGAGCACAGCAGAGCTCACAAATGACAATGTTGGAATAGACTCATCATCATCATCAATGAACCAATTCCGTTCCCCTCCATGGCGCTCGGCTCCCAGACTACAGCTGGCTGATCCTACCTAACCTATCTACATATGCCACCGGTGACCTCAACAGCTTTCTGAAGTACGAGCAGATCTCGGCCAATGCTGTCCGCATTGAGCACCAGGTTTGTCCTCGCCACACTCACAACCTCGATCCCCCACACAGATGCCACATGCACCCAAAGACCACCATGCGTGTCACCCAGCAATGTGCAGGCCAGCCCGGCTATGGCTGCCTGCGTACACCCTGCTCGCCCGTGAGCTTGTGGGCACTTGCCTCAGCAGCTAGCGTAGCAGCGGTTACGCATGAAGCAGCAAGTGCCCGAATGAGCTCCCATGGTTAGGCCCTTTCCTTTATGGAAAGTGGCTGCCAGTGTGGGCTGCCTGGCTGGTCTGGGCCTCGGCCCAGAAGCTTCCGGTATGCTGCAAGTGGCTGAGCCTCTGTCCCAGGGGAATATTCCACAAAGCCTTTGGCAGCTACGTGCGTCCAACTGCCAGACGTGCTGAGTACAGTTTGTGCCTCATGCCCGGCCCAGGTCCTGCCTTCGATTCACTCAGAAAGGGCCTGGACCCTGAAACAGATGGTGTTAGGCAGGGCCTGGGCTCACTCAACCAACTGATGCTGCGTAACTGTCTGATATTTCCCCAGTTGCGACAAACACAAAAATAGTCCTCACATCACTTATCAGGCCTGCCTTCACTTAGGGCAGCCTTACTTGCTGGAACGGCCCGAAAAGGGCTTCCCGAGGCCTTGAGCCTCGCAGATGTGAGGAGGGATGAAATTAGTTAGGGGACGAGTTACAGTGAGTGGTTATGGGTGTAACTGGCAGAACTGGATAAGAAGGTTGTACGGCAATTCAGGGGTGGAAATAGTCTGAACTGGGATATGCGGGACAGGCGAGGTTATGGGCATAGTTGAATGATGATACGGGATGGATGAGGTACTGTATGAGGTAGTAACAGGATAAAGACAGCTGTTATGTGGCCTGAGGAACTGTTAAGGAACCCCCCCCCCCCCCTGGGTCCTGCCCTCCTGGAGGTCCCTGCTGTCTGACTGGGTGCTGCTAGCAAGCCTCCCGACCAGCAGGGCAACCCCCTGAGGAAGGGCACGGACTGGGGAAGGGAAGCCCTGTAACAGTCCCCCCTTGCTATGCGGCTAGTGCCACAAGGGACGGCCTGATCCTGTTTCTCGTCTTCCCCCCCCCTTATCTCTTGGATGTAAAAACATGCTTGCCGGTAATAAGCAACCGGACTGTTGCCCCCCAGAATAGAAGGGGCGTGGTTTAAAAAAAAAAAAGAAAAAAAAAAGGAAGTCGTAACGTCCGAATAATACACAAGGAACACAGTTTTCTCAGTGCATTCAGTCCTTGACAGGAACTGGCATTTTGCACACTGCACTCACCCACCCACACCATGCTTGCTGAGCATGAAAGATACCCGCTTTGTGTTTGGAAGAAGACAACACATTGGGTAACTGGGATTTAGCACTCTCAAATTTTCAGTGCGTTGACACTGAGCTGCAATATGGTTGCATGGGTAAAAAATCTTGAGAGTGGTGTGAATCGAGCACACTGCACTTGCTGCTACTAATGCTAATCAAGCAAGAGAGAGCTACATACTATGGTGTTCGGGACAGTGCACATTGGGTAACTGGAATGTAGTGCTGATGAATCTGGACAGACCTGTGCGGTGTATTCACACCAAATTACAACGAAAAGCGTGGGTAAAAAATCTTGAAAGGGATGTGAATCGAGCACACTGCACTTGCTGCTACTAATGCTAATCAAGCTAGAGAGAGCTATATACTACGCTGTTTGGAGCAGGGCACATTGGGTGACTGGAATGTAGTGCTAATGAATCTGAACAGACCTGTGCGGTGTATTCACACCAAATCACAATGAAAAGGTGTCCTGAACTTCATAAAGCAATGATGAAAGAAACGAAAGATAAACTGTCGATGTTGTTTCCTACCTGTAGTGGTCCTATACGCTTTTTAAAAACGAGATGGAAGGAGAAGATGCTGTGTAGTCAGATGTGAAGGTGAAGCAAATGAATGAGGATCATGCTTGCTACATGAAGTATCTGCAGAAGATTTTGCAAAATTTATTATTATTCTTTGTGCAGTGCTTATTTGAAAACTATTTTGGGTAACCGAAATTTGGCACTTGTGAATTTGCATGCAGTGTGTTGACACCATACTACAATGAAGACGTCATGTACTCGGAAAAAAAGGTGAAAGAAATGAATGCTGACGGCGTTTCCAATCTGTTCTATCTACAGAAGATTTACCCAGGTAATATTCATGATCATGCCTTTATCCTTTGTTCCCCATCCACCGCTTCTTATTCTCACTCCTCAGCTTCTCCTTCCCGTCTCCACTTTGGCTTTGCTGCTGTAATGTACATGGAAGAGTCATGAACGCCTGGACATGCTCACGCGAACAAAACCGCCATAAAGCACCATAGCTGAGGTTTGGTTGAGGAAGCATAGTACGGAACAGACAAACGAACGAGAAACACATCCAGACAAACCAACAGAATAGCAGACGTCCGGGCGAATGCACTCGATAAGATATGCCATGTCTGTACTGATTCTGGTCTGGTCGGGCTTACAGGCAGGAGCTCTGAGCAGACCAGGCCCCGAAAATCGGCAAATCGGGCAAAAGCTGAAAAGGCCTGGTCCAAACAATATCCGGGCCTGGTATCATTCCCTCCATCGTTTTTTGATTTTCCACCTCATCATCGTCTTGTCGGGCAAGTTTTCATCCGTCGAGTTCATGATTTGTTGAAGAGGTGAGCATATAGAATTGGGTTGATTGCAGACGAGCGCGGTGTGGGGCGGCTCAAGCCTTATGCAGCCCTTTACTTCCTTGATGATGATACCTGGTGAGAACCAGATCTAGCTATTTTTCCTGACGCAATAGCGGCCAACGTCGAAGAACTGTAATACCAGATCCACGCTGCGAAGAACTGTAATACCAGACGTCAGGAGAAGTGGGCTCGCGAACTCCAAGTGAGCTTTCTTCTATGGGAACCACGAGGGCCACCGCTGACAAGACGTTAAAGTTGACGACAACAGAGGAAATGCCGGAGGTTCCAGTTAAAGGACAAGGGCGAGGGCGGGGCGATGTGCTTTTCAAAAGATAATGCGGGGCTCTTAAGACGAGACTTCAGGCAGGCTTAAGGGCGATGACACTCGAGGCTCACCGTGGGATCAGGAAAGAGAGAAAACATTACGCGGGCGCGCTCGAGGCCTTGGCATCCAAGCCGTGGTTGGAACCAAAACGGGGCCGCAAAGCCTAAGGCTGGGAAAAGGGCCCTCAGGCTGTCAGTTTATTTCCAAGACCGGGCCCACAGATATTGGTGAGGCCTTGATACTTTCTGCGTGGGGACCACTAGAGCCCGAACAGGCTCGGGCTTAGGCTCGGGAAGAGCCCGGGTACCAGGGCGCTGCAAAAGGCCCGGTACCCGACAAAAAGGCCCTCTTTGCAAGAAAACCTTTTGGGGGCCCAAATAGGCCCCGGCCTAGGTTCGGGAGGAGGCTCGGTACCGGGTCGCTGCAAGTTTCCCGACGGCGCCCGACACTTGGGAGGTTGAGGCCACAGTTGAGGTATGTGAAGCCGGGCCCAATTGGGGGACTTTTTTGGTGGGGGGGACTTTTGGGGAGGCATGTTCGGGCGCACTACGGGAGTTCAGGAGTTTTTCACTTGCGCACATTCAGGCGCACAGGCAGGAGAGGAGTCCGGGGACGAGATTGGGGAAGGCATTCAGGCGCACCAGCGGGAGAGGAGCACCCTGAGGCGCAGGTGCGGCAGCGCACGAGGGACAGGGAGAGGGAATCGGACGGGCGCGCGCCATAGCCGAGTCAAGCCGAAGCACAGGCGGGGAACGACACGTGGCCGTGTGAGATCGCGCAAGAACATGCCCAGTCAGGGAAGACCGCGCGCACCATCAGGAAGGCTGGACGGAGCAGCGCTCGTAAACGCGCGCCTTTTGGAAGGTCGCGCGCCGAAGCATACGCACGCGCACTGTCGGAGAGACCGTGCGCTCCATCAGGAACCCCACGCGCAGCAGCGCGTGCAAACACACACCTTCGAGAGTGCGCCCGCAAACACACACCGTCGAGGGGGACCTTGCGCAGCGGCGTGTGCGGACACGCACCATCGGCATAGGCGCGCAATCACGCACCGCGTCGCGCACGAACCGGGAACCAGCGCGCATAGGCGCGCGATCACGCACCCCGCCCGCGCACGAACCGGGAACCAGCGCGCATAGGCGCGCGATCACGCACTACGCCAGGGCGTGCTTGCGCACGGTTTGGGATAGGAGCGCCCGCACCAGCGCACGCTTGCGCACGGTTCGGGATAGGAGTGCCCGCACCAGCACACGCTTGCGCATGGTTTGGGTTAGGAGCATGCGCGCGCGCGTCCCCACTCTGCGCGATCGAGATAGGAGGGAGCGAGCACGCACGCGCACGCTCACACACCTCGTGATTGGGTTGGAGCGCGCGAGCTCGCACGCATACGCTGTGGGATTAGGCTAGGACCGTATGGACAAACGCGCTCGTGAACACGCAGTGCGGCGGAGGGCACAGGCGCGCAACCACGCACCACACCGCGCATGAACGGGGCTGGAGCGGGGATAGGCGCGCGCATCAGCCAGCATCCGCGCAAGATCGGGATTGAAGGGCGAGAGCACGCGCGCCGCTCGGTCGGGGAGGAAGGCGCAGCGGAAAAAGGGCCGCTTGGTTTAACACCCGGACAGACACGCAGACGAACTGGGACTTTTCAAACGCGCTGGGAGTTTCCAATCAGACAGGGACTTCGGGCCAAAGCGGGGCCTGGGATGCAGGTTTGGACCTTCGGGGCGAGCCGAAACTTTGAGCCGGACTGGGACTCAGCTGGGATCAGAATCTCAGGCGAGCTCAGGGCGGGCTGAAACTTTGGACAGGACCGGGGTTTCGGTTTGGAACGGGACTTGGACGGAACCGAGACTTGGATGGCACTGAGGCTTGGATGGGTCTGAGACTTTGGACGGGACCGGAACGTTGGATGAGACCAGGATTTCTGGCCAGATCAGGGCGTTGAGGGGCGTTGAGCTCAGGCTGGGATATTTGGGACGCAGGTTTGGACCTTCGGGGCGAGCCGAAACTTTGAGCCGGACTGGGACTCAGGCGGGATCAGAATCTCAGGCGAGCTCAGGGCGGGCTGACACTTTGGACAGGACTGGGACTTCGGACAGGACCGGGATTTTGGGTTGGAATGGGACTTGGACGGCACGGAGGCTTGGATGGGTCCGGGAATTTGGACGGGACCGGAATGTTGGATGAGACCAGGATTTCTGGCCAGACCGGGGCGTTGAGCTCAGGCTGGAATATTCGGGACCAGGTTGGGATATTGGAGTTCAGGCCGGGACTACGGTAACGGGAACTGACAGGCCTAGTCCTTGGGCGGGGCGGGCCTAACTTGAAGAGATAATTTGTCCGAGATGCGGGCAGGGTGATTCAGTTGGCCGGGAGCAGAGCCTGTTTGCTGGGGTTTCAATTCTTGAGGAGATCAGGAGACAAGGGCGACACATGGTGAAACTAGATTGTGAACAGTGGCCGCGAAGGGCCCTCGATTCTACCTCTGATGCGGAGAGTTCAAGCACCGTCCCGTGGGACCAACGGGCTCGTTACCGGCGGCACCCTATCGGACGGAGGATCCGACCTAGACTGTTAGTAAGATCAGTCGGGACTCAGAAGGATTTCCCTGACTTGGGCGCGGGATCTATTCCTGAGGCTGGAAGTAGCTCATTGAACCCTATTATTTTGGACTAAATGAAAACAATCTTTTTGTACCTTCCAGACAGCGGGTTGTGAGGGACTCGAGGTTGTGTCTAAAGGCGGTTCCTGTCTCTATTTGTAATAGTGTGAGCTAACTGTTTTCTTGCAGATTACAGGAGCCCCGATCGATCCTCCCATGGGTGACAGACATGGCGCGAGGTACAGGGTCCGATCGGCGTGCCGGCAGATCTCTTCTTCCGGTCGACAGCGGGCTGTATTGTGTGACCCCAACCGGTCGACTGTTTGGGAGCGATGAGGAGGAGTGGGCCAATTAGTGTGAGAAGAGAGGGGGAGGAGGGAAGGGGAACGGTGGCAAAGGGGAGTTGGGACAGTATGAGGAAGGGGAATGAAGAGAGAAGGGAATAGTCATAATAGGAGTGCGAAAGTGGGGAGGTTGAAGACAGAAAAGAGCCCTGAAAGGAGGGGAAAGGGGAGATGGGTAAACACAAGAACTGCATGAAATCAAACTCCACGTTATAGGGGGATATAGGGGGGTATNGAGAGAGAGAGAGAGAGAGAGAGAGAGAGAGAGAGAGAGAGAGAGAGAGAGAGAGAGAGAGAGAGAGAGTGCACTTACCTGAGTGAGGGTGATGAGATGGCGGGCATAGCCACATGTACTATGAACTTGGATAATTTTGTTGTTCTGGAAACAGTCATTTCAGTTTCTGGCTAATTTCTAACTCGCTGCCTTGTCTGTGTCATGTACTGAAATTCGGTGCGTTGCATGCTTGCGATTGGAGTTGAATTTGTTGGTGTTGAGGAGTTGATCGCAGTTAGGGGAACTGGAAGGCTAACCATGTTGTGTTGATCGCGGCATGGGCATAGGGCGGAGGGCGCTCATTTAACAACACAACATGGTTAGCCCTAAGATCGTCACTGACCGGCATGCTTGTGAACCGTGCGACTCAGAGAGGGGTCTGTCTAACTCTTGAGAGGGAACCTACTTCGTTGTCAAGCCTTGCTACCCTGTTTGTGGCATTAAATAATTCCTGAGGACGTTGCTGGCGGTCTTAAAATAAGATAGTTGGGTTGATTGAAGTCACTCAGGGATCTGTAGTGATAGCCATAGTCGGGAAGGGCGTAATAAGTTGCAGTGGCAGGTACGTAGCGGAGCATAGTCGATCATGTGAATGGCCATTGTGCTTCTAACAGGAATGGACGACTACCCGACGTTTGCTTCTCTCGCTCTTTTGGTAATCTGGGAACCACTACTTCGCATGCCGTTCCCCCAAGGATTCTATAGGATAGGCCGATGTGCGGTGAGGGAGTTCAGAGACGGCAATAAAATACTAGGGGGGGGGAGGAGGATAGGAGAAGCAGGAAAAGGAAAGAGCCGAGGAGAGTCAGGAGACGAAAAAGAAAAAGGAGGAAAAAGAAAAGAAAAAGGAGCTGGCGAAGAACAAAAAGAAGTTGTAGGAGGAATTGAAGGAGATATATACAGAGGAGGAAAGAGGAGAAAAGACAAGTGGAGGAAAGCAGGTGGAGGTGAAAAACGAAGAAGAAAGGAGTGGGAAGCAGCGTGAAGGAGAAGCGGCGAAGGAGAAGGTGGAGTCAGGCCGCCCGTCGCCAGCAGTTGGAATCTTCTCCGAAAAGGACATGGCAAAAAGTTCAGACGGGCTATCAGGATACCCCAAGGAGGCCAGCTGCCGCAGGGTGTTGAAGCAAGAGGTCAGGTTGTGCAGTCTGCCATATCGGCTACTGAGGGAGAAAAACAGCAGATTAAGGAGCAGAAACAGCAAATTGAGAAGGTGCGGCAGGCGATGGAGAAGAAGAAAAAAGAGGTGGCGCAGGGTTGCATAGCTGCCGACCGCCGATGCCGACCGCCGATCGTTTTGCAGCTGACCAGTAGGGCCGACCGGTCAGCTGTCTGCCGACCAGTCAGAAAACAGCCATCCACTAATATTTTTTCAGATCTGAGTTGGAAGCTGTACTGCGCTTGCTGAGTACAGCCCAAACCCGTGAGAAACTTTTCGGGATGCAGTTGTTGGGATGGGGGGTTGTACGGGGATATACAGGGGTATAGGGGTGGTATAGGGGGTATTGGGAGGGGGTATGAGGGTGTTGGGGGGCGGTTTGGGGGTGTTGCGGGGGTGTATGGGGGTATTTGGGGCGGGTATGGGGGTGTTGGTGGGGTTATTAGGGGTTCTGGACCCAAAAATAAATAAATAAAATAATAAATAAATAAATAAATAAATAAATAAATAAAATAAATAAAATAAATAAATTGTGGGGTGCCGACGACCCCGACCGGTAGGTGCTGACCATCCCACCTGTTAGTGGGTCGGCAGCCGACCAGTCAAGGGTTGCCGACGGTCGGGGTGCGCAACACTGCTGTTGCGAGTCCTCCTGAAAGAAGGGGGCATTGGGAGGGGGGGCAGTGAGGGTGGGGGAGGGGGATTAACACCGACAACACAGACATTTTGAATCACTCTCATTGTTATAAAGCAAGTATAGGAGCGGAGCATTTGGACACACGCCAAGCACCGGGGTACGAATTCTCGGTGTGTCTGACAAGGGGTCTTCTTTGCATGGTTGTGTCCACAGATGAATGGGTCAACTTTGGGGAGAGGATGGGTGCAATCAATAAAGAAATGAAGAGGGAGAAATGGTCGAACTTGTCATCAGATGAGGCCTGGGCCTCGATGAAGACTATGAACAAGGAGCATAAGTTGCGGGAGTTTGTCTCGTACCGAGCACAGACGTTGGCACGAACAGGTGCGTATGCTGTCACTCAGGAAACTGCCCGAGACATTGAAGTCAAAGTCTGTCATTTACTCAGACCTGTCACATTTTCTTTCTTTCCGTTTCTCCTCCGGATACCCAGCTTTACGCCCGGGCAACCTGGACCCGCTGGGAGGCTGCCTGGCAGGGCAATCCAGCCACTTCCCCCTGTCGGGCACCCGGGTGGAGTCCTGGTGCAAAACTGCGATAAAGTGTTCTTTGACGTGGTAGGCCACCTGGCATCCATGAGGAAATCCTGCATGCTGCCAGGTGAAAAAGGAAAAAAAAGGCCTCTGGGCCTCCACTTTTGTTTTGTTATTTTTTCGTTTGTGCAGTCTCAGCTGCCTGTTGACGATGGTGTCTGCGTGGATGCTGCTGCCTGTGGAGGATCTCACAGATGTCGAGGAGCTGATGAGTAAGACCTTGCTGCAACCGTGCTGGGGTGGGCTGAATGTCCCGACGGGTATGGCTTCCGTTTTGAGCACGGGGTCAAGGTAGCAGTGGTAAAGGCATCCGGCTGTTATGGCGGAGGTCACTGGTTTGATTCCTTCTGGCTGCGGATCGATCAGGGCCCAACAAAAACTATCTACAAAGCTGATGAACACTAGACTACCAGAGTGGCCCGGGGCCAGTTGCCCGGCCGGGCCAAAAAAAAATAAAAAAATAAAAGTTATTTTTTAACTTTATTTGTTATTTTAAGTTTGGTAAAGAATTTCGATGTGACCCTGAGGCAAAAGTTGTTCAGTTTATTTTTCTGCATAACATAGTTTTTTTGTGGATTTTTTTTTTTTTTTTTTTTTTTTTTGCTAGGACCTTCCCTGGGCCTTGCACGGCCGGGCCGTCCGGGAAAATAGGGTGACCCGGGCGGCCCGGCTGGTAGCCTAGGATGAATATAATTTTGTCAAGAAGGATGGCCTGAGGCTCCGTCGACATTGATTGGCACTCCATTAGGATGCTCGACCGAACTGACCCTGTGTATTTTAGCCACTGATCACCAAAAATCAACAGTGGGGATTTTTGTCAAGAAGTTGAGGTTGAGGGAGGGTACACCCATTTTGATGGGCATTCGTATCCAAATGCCTGATCAAACTCCACGTTACTCCAGTCCTCTCTTTTGTTCCATTTGTGCGATCTCAGCGGTGCGTTGACGAAGGTCAATGAATGAGATTACTGTCAAGAAGGCTGGGCAGAGGGCACACTCAGTCTGGTGGGCATTTGAATCTGGATGGCCAAAGAAACTCATGTCAAGTGCGGCAGGATCAGCGCTCTCTCTCTCTCTCTCTCTCTCTCTCTCTCTCTCTCTCTCTCTCTCTCTCTCTCTCTCTGCGCCAAGAAGAAAAATAATCGATGGAGGGTAAGTGGAAGAAGTATGGAAGTCTCCTCTCTCTGTCTCTCTCACTCTCTCAAGAGGAAGTTACTAACTGCTGAATGGCATCGCGTTGAGGCACTTATGCACTGCTGATGCCTCGAAGAAGAAGGCCATATGGCTGATGGCTTGTTGTTTATTTTTTAATTATTTCCCCTCTGCTGAATTTTATTGCCCTCTTTTTATGTGGGAGTCGGTGCTCCACATAAAAAGCTCAGTAACTCAGTTAATGATTAATAGAGACAGTGGACAGCATTCGTTTTTTTTTTAAGAAACAGAACCTATTGGTTCTGGCTCCTACCATTCTGGGGAGCGACAGTCCGGTTCCTATTCCCCCGGCAAGTCAGTATGGAATACATAGGAGACTCACGCACGCTCCTCCCCATTATGGCTGGGAGGCCCGAGTGGACGGCGTTGATTACTTCCCTGAGGAAGGATGTACCACCCCTCACCCCTGCCTAAGTTAGCCTGTGCTATTTAATCTGCCTGGCTGTTGCCAATCTGTCTGACCCCAGTCCCGCTCCTCTCAGCTGTGATGCTGTCGGGTTGTTGTGTTATGTTAGAGCTGAAACGGTTTTTCACCTTTAGCAGTAGCAAATGCAGATCCCAGGGCTCGATCCCTAGTTCTCACCTTACCTGTGTACAGTATCTGTGTCGACCCCGAGTGTTTGAACCCGTGACCTGTGTTTTGGCAGTTGTTGTTGTCTGTCGTAGGTCTATGCAGTGGTGGGGGTTCGATCTGTAGGTCTGTCGAGTAGGAGTCACAGCCCTGTAGAGGTCGTAGCTGTAGGGATCCTGAAAGGTCGAGGTCGTAGCTGCTACAGTCCTGAGAGGTCAAGGTCGTAGCTGCTACAGTACCCGAAAGGCCAAGTCTACAGACTTCCATAAGGTCCCGGAAGTGGCCTTTCGGAGTGGGCTCACGTTTAGGCAGAGGCAAGTGGGCAAGTGGTGGAGCCAACCTCAGTACGTTGGCAGTGCGACTGCAGGGAGTCTGCGGTGCAAACCCATGCAGTCAGCGGTACCGGTCCAGTCAGTCCCAGTCCAGTCCAGCAAGTACCATGAGGGACTGTGTCAAATGGAGAAGAAAATTACAGAGTGGGTTGCTGGTTTGTCCCTGGGGGAAGAAGAAGAGGCACTGATGTATGTGCCCAGGGAAGAACAAGAGGCGGCCATAAGACAGTGGGATGCAGAAGAAGACCCACTCAAGCGGCAAGCGATGGAGGATGAGAAGAGGATGGAGTTTGGAGGATGAGAAGAGGATGGAGTGGAAGTTCCGATTAATGAGGGAGAGAAAAAGGAGAATGGAGGCGGCGAAAGAATTGGAAGAGGTGAAGAAGCGGAGAGACGAGATGGCGACGCAGGTGGATCTATTGGGGAAAATGGAGATAATGGCAAGAAACATAGAGCGCCTGGCACAAGTCCAGGAAGAGCAATATTTATTTGGTAGAGGTCAAGACATTGCCTTACGCTCTATACGGCTGGGGCTCAGGGACTTCGCCAGGGAATTGGCGACGCAGGTGGGCTCAGAGGTGAGGGCCCGCCTAGAGGGCACATAACGTTATTGTACGGGCGCCATAGAAGGCCTCCCGAAGGGAGCCTGTCAAGGTCAAGTTCCCTGACTCTCATAGTGGGAAGAGAGAAGAGAATTTTGACAATTGGGAAGCCAATGTCAAAACCTACGTCCATCTCCAGAAGGTCTCCCCGGATGAGCATGTCCTGATAGCCATCCATGCCCTTCGAGACGAAGCAGCAAGCTTCGCATGTTCCTTGTGTCGCGCCGCTAGCTGCAATGATGATTTAGTTGCTTATTCTCCGTTCACTCCCCTCACTGACTTCCTTAAGTTGTTGCGCGAACGATTTGCAGACGTTACACATAGTGTCAAGGCCTCAGACAAACTGCAAACCATCCATTCTCGCCAATGGAAGAGTGCCAGGGCACTCAAAGGTGTGATGGACGAACTGGTCGCCGTTCCTGACCATGGGGTCACTGAGACCTAGTTGGTCAATCTCTTCTACCGCAATATGCCCGAGCAATCACGCGGGCATTTCTTTGAAAAGAGTCAGCAGCCTACCATGACCTACGATGCACTGAGCAGGGAAGTGGTAGCATTCGAAGCACGGTCCGCATCAATCTCCACTTTTTGGCATAAGGACTTGGACAAGGGCAAAAAGTGGAAGGGTCGCACCATCTCGGGTCAAGTTAAGACCAAGGATCGTTTGATCCTTACGTTAGATGAGGGTGGTGTCGACGAGGTCCCCTACGAGCAGATTGAGTGGGGACTAGAGGAGGAGGACAATGGCGTTAGCCAGGGGAGGACTTACGTTGTTGTCGCGACTGGAGGGAGGTCGCAAGGAGGAGGTAGAGGCCAAGGCCGAGGGGGCCAGGCCTCAGGGGGCTGTTCCCAGGGCGATCAGGGGGTCGGTGGTAGAGGAGGAAACCGCCAAGCGGGAGGAAGGGGTCAAGGTCCCCCGCAAAACCGTTCAGGTAATAGGTTGCCTAATAGGGGTAATAGATCACCCTGTAGGAGAGGAGGATGACACGCAGGTCTGCCACAGGGTAGGCCTTGGGAGGACTTGGGCCTGGACCAGCGCGGCTGGCAACAGCGTGTGGACCAGGGGCAGTGCATTTATTGTGGTGACCCTGGCCACATCATCAAATACTGTCCAAAGTACAGAGAGGCCCGAGGGGCTGCCCAGGGGTCAAAAGGCAGTCGCCGGTAGGGGTAGCAACTGCCCCTACCATAAGGCCATGTGGGGAAATGAGCGCGAACCGGCATGAATCTCCCACACCACATGTGCCTATGCCAGAGGTTGCAGGCCGGTGCCTAGATAGCTGTCCAGAGACTGCTTGTGTTATGGTCTCTCTAGGCACTTCCCTCACAGGCGTGGCCGATGAGTTAAAGGAGAGGATGCCCGTCTGGGCCAAGATGGAAAAGGAGAGTAGAGGACAACTAGTTTTGGTAGATGTCGAGATTTCCAGAGGTAGAGTAGGGGCCCTAGTAGATAGTGGGGCCACGCGCAGCTATATCAGTAGGAAGGCGCTGCAGAAGTTGAAGTTGGGGCTAAAAGTCCAGAAGTTAGCAGACCCCATAGTGAGCATCCTCGCAGACAATCACACGATGCGAGTAGATGATTATGTAGGGGGAGTCCAGGCGTACTTTCGCCTAGAGAAAGATGGGACGGTGGAAAAAGTTCTCCATTCCCTGACTCCCCTCGTAGAGGACAACCTTCCTTTTGACATAGTTCTAGGAATGGACTGGGGAGAGGCAGCTGGGGCCACACTCCATTTGAGAGAGCACGAGTGTAGGCTCCCTAGTCCGTCAGGCGGAGTCAAGACTGCCCGTCTGTTCCACGTGTCAGGAGTAGATAACTCCCTGGCACATTGCTGCCTTAGCGCTCCTGCGTTTGCAAGATTAGTGAAGAAGGAGCAGCTAGAGGAACAGGTTTTCGTAGCCTATGTTAGGCCAATGACTGAGCCTAAAGAGGAGAAGCCTATAGACCCTGCTATTGCCAAGCTGCTGGAAGAGTTCACAGACTTAGCTAAGCCGTCGACAGGAGTAGTACCGCGGCCAATCCAGCATCGCATTGAGATAGAGCCTAGCAGTAGGACTCCTAAAGGAGCAGTGTATAGGATGTCCCCACGGGAGTACGAGGAGCTGCGCAAGCAATTAGACGAGCTCCTAGAGAAGGGTTGGATTAGGCCCAGTTCGTCTCCATTTGGAGCACCTGTCCTGTTTGTCCCCAAGAAGGAGGGAGAGCTCAGAATGTGTATAGACTATAAGGGTCTCAATGCTATCACCGTGAAGAATGCAGAGCCTTTGCCCCGTATAGATGATCTTTTAGGTCGAGTGCAGGGTTGCAAATATTTTTCAAAGATAGGCTTGAAGTCCGGATATCATCAGATAGAGGTCCATCTTGATGATCAGTATAAGACCGCGTTCCGGACTAGATATGGGCACTACGAGTTCAGCGCTATATGAATGGGCACTACGAGTTAGTCATGCCCTTTGGACTAACCAACGCGCCAACGACTTTTCAGCGTTGTATGATGACTTGTTTAGGCCGTGGTTAAACAGATTTGTAGTGGTCTACTTAGATGATATTCTAGCGTTCAGTAGGACCCTCTAGGAGCATGAGGGTCATCTAAGGCAGGTCTTGGAGAAGCTAAGAGAGGCTAACTTCAAGATCAACGCAAAGAAGTGTGAATGGGCAAAGACCCAAGTTCTGTATTTAGTTAGACGGAGACGGCATCAAACCAGAAGATAGTAAGATTGCAGCGATTAGAGATTGGCTTATACCCCGCACGTTGACAGAGTTGCGGTCGTTCTTAGGCCTAGCTAACTACTACAGGAAGTTTGTTAGGAACTTCTCCACCATCGCTGCTCCCCTTCGCAGGTTGCTGAAGAAAGAAGCGATCTGGAAGTGGGACAAGGACTGCACGTCTGCCATGAAGAAGTTAAAGCAGGCATTGATAGAGTACCCAGTCCTCAAAGTAGCCGATCCGTCCTTACCTTTCGTCGTCACTACTGACGTGAGCTAGTACGGTATAGGTGTTGTGTTACAGCAAGACGATGGCAATATAGGCCCATAGAGTTCATGTCTGCCAGAATGCCTTCAGAGAAGGTAGCGACATCTACCTACGAGAGGGAACTCTACGCTCTCAGGCAAGCTTTAGAACACTGGAAGCAGTACTTGCTTGGGAGGCACTTCAAAGTCTATTCAGACCACAAAACGTTAAGGTGGTTAAAGACGCAGGCCAAGATGACACCTAAGCTGACTAGGTGGGCCGCCGAATTAGACTAAAATGATTTTGAGCTCAAGCCCGTCAAAGGAAAGTATAATCTAGAAGAGCTGATTACTTTGGAGCGATAGTTCATTATCTAGATATAGGGAGAGACCTGCAACAGAAAGTTAGAGAGGCGTATGCGCAGGACCCTATCTGTAGTGACCTCCTCAAGAGAGTAAAGGAGGCCCCATAGTCAGAACCAGACTATCACACTACTGATGGGCTACTACTTGAGAAGACTAACGTAGTTGACCGATTGTGCGTTCCTAACAGTGAAGAGATCCATAGTTTGATCCTAGGGGAATATCACGATACTGAGGGACATTTTGGTTGGCAAAAGACTCTAGCTAACCTCATGCGCGCGTACATACGGCCTGTGATGAAGGCCGACAGCATAGAGTATGTTCGCAGTTGTAAGGTCTGCCAAAGAAATAAGACCTCTACGCGTGCCCCTCTAGGTCTTCTCAAACCCTTGCCTATTCCTGATCAGCCAGGAGATTCAGTGTTCATTGACTTTATGGACACCCATGTCAAGAGTAGGCACGGCAAGAGCCAAGTCATGGTAATAGTTGACAGGTTTAGTAAGTATGCTGTTTTTGTTCCTTTGCCCGCAGAGGCACGCACATAATTAGTTATTCATAAGTTTTTTGATAATTGGGTCAGTGAACACGGGATTCCACTGTCTAGTTAGTGATAAAGACACCCGGTTCACTAGTCAGAACTGGCAGGAGTTGATGAGAGTCTATGGCTCCAAGTTGTTGATCCAAGGTGTTGATGTCATTTGGCCGTCATCCAGAGACTAACGGTCAGACTGAACAGATGAATAAGATCCTGCAACAAGTTCTGCGTATGTACATTACACCGGATCAGATCAATTGGGATGAGATGTTGCCCAAAGTAGCCAGTGCGTACAATAAAAGTGTGCACTTGTCCACCTGTCGCACTCCCAACGAGTTACACAAGTCCTTTAGACCACGTAGACCGTTCGAGGGACTTAACCGGGATCAGATTCACAGGCTACCGCCCGGTACTAGGGAGTTTGCGTTACAGCAGGAGAAAGAGTTAGCTACCGTCGTAGAGGACCTTAGGAAAGCCCAGCACCGAATGATAGAACAAGCTAATAAGCACCGTCGCCCGTCACAGTTTCAAGTAGGCGACCTGGTCTGGGTCAAGTCCAAAGAGTTTGCTCCTGAGGAAAACATCTCGCAGAAGTTACTGCCCGCGTACAGAGGACCGTGGCCAATTCTAGAAGTTAAGGGCGGAGAGGATGGGCCGTCCTACACAGTAGAGATCCCAGCACACCTCCACACCTACCCTGTGTTTCATGCCTCAAAGTGGTTGCCGTATGTCACAAGTCAACAGTTTCCATCTAGAAGATCCATGATTCCTCCAGACATGGACGGAAGATACGACATTGACGGCATTGTAGGTGAAGACGTATTCAGAACAGGAGGTAGAGGTCGTCCGCAGAAGCAGTACAAGGCTCGATTTGCTTATCAAGAACCAGAAGACGACCGCTGGTTTACTAGAACCGAACTTCTAGAAACAGCTCCCGACATAGTTAGAGCCTAAGCAAGAGATAAGAAAGGTAAAGGTCTCGCCTTGGACTGAGATATTCTCGGAGGACCTCGAATTTAGGCCGGCGGGAGTGAAATGGTTTTTCACCTTTAGCAGTAGCAAATGCAGATCCCAGGGCTCGATCCCTAGTTCTCACCTTACCTGTGTACAGATCTCTAGGTCTGTCGAGTAGGAGTCACAGCCCTGTAGAGGTCGTAGCTGTAGGGACCCTGAAAGGTCAAGGTCGTAGCTGCTACAGTCCTGAGAGGTCAAGGTCGTAGCTGCTACAGTACCCGAAAGGCCAAGTCTACAGACTTCCTCCCGGAAGTGGCCTTTCAGAGTGGGCTCACGTTTAGGCAGAGGCAAGTGGGCAAGTGGTGGAGCCAACCTCAGTACGTTGGCAGTGCGACTGCAGGGAGTCTGCGGTGCAAACCCATGCAGTCAGCGGTACCGGTCCAGTCAGTCCCAGTCCAGTCCAGCAAGTACCATGAGGGACTGTGTGCACCATGGGCCGATGGAAAAGGGTAGACCAGCGAGTCACAGAAGTATAAATCAAGAGGCAACGCCCAGCCATTCATTCATTCCTGCGTGAGCCATGGGGAAGTGCTGCCATAGCGACTTGTGGGAGGTGGTCTGCAGTGAGCCCGAGGACGAAGTGGGCGAGAAGGAAGTTAGCCATAGTGGTATAGTAGTAGCGGCCATAGCCGCCATAGCCAGTTGAAGTGAACTTGTATCTGAGCTGCGTTCTTGGTACTATATCTCTGAGTTCTGAGTGGGCGCTTGACGCCAGTTTGCAGCGCAACCTGCTTGCATGTATGTGGAGTGTGAATGAAAGCGAGTCTGATTGCAGAGCGGTCTAGAGCGCCTTTGAGCCTCTTGAAATCTCTAACACCCTAAGCCCTATTTGCCTTGTTTCTGCCTAAACCTTACACCCTAAACCCTCAGCTGTAATGCTGTCTTGATTTACCTGTTCCTAGTTCCTAAAAATGTAAAACGTGTGCTGTTCTTAAGCCCTGAACCCTCTTCCTCTCTCTAGTTTGGGCTGTGTACCCTTCCTTTCTCTCGGATGACTGTTTTTACTGCAACGTTCTTCTGATCTACCCTATTGTACTGTCCAACATAAGTTTTCCTTCATGTCTCGTACCTGCGCTCTTGAGGTCGTTCAGTACGGGAGTTTGTTTTTTGTGGGTGCTATGCGCTTTGTCTTATCCCTTTTCCTTTTTCCAAATGTCCAGCCTGTTTCTCTCAGCTTCTAGGCTGTCGGTTTTACCTTAGTCGCTAGAACTGTTGCTTGGGTCCTTTGCTTGCATCCTATCCACCTCTAGACAAATCCTAGGTGGGCAACATTCGTATTCAATTGTCAGAGGTGAAATTCTTGGATTTATGGATGACAAACTTCTGCGAAAGTATTTGCCAAGCACATTAAAAAAATAAAAAATTTACTGCGGAAAACTGGGTTGAGCGTCCCTTTCATTGAAAAAAAAAACACTTCACGCTCTCCTCCATTATGGCCGAGGTATCCTGAGACAGAGACACGCTACTTCCTGATGAGGAAGGATTTACCACTAATCACCCTTGCTTGTCCTTACACCCACATGAAAGCCATTCCCCTTCATCTGGGCAAACGACAACCGCCTGATAAGACACTAGAAGTTGAAAAGGGCTTATCTACTGTTAAACCATGAGTACCTTGCCCCACTTGAAAACAATGTTGCGGCTTGTTTACGGCCGCATTTTTCGGGGGTTTGGTACTGGACCAAAACGGCTGGCGGCACCAGCCAAAAGCAGGACTGCGCCAGTTGTTTTTTTTGGGGCGCACAGGGCAAATTTAGGCTCGGCATCAATAGCCTAGCAGGGCACTGGTGATTTAATGAAGAGTATGAAGTCCTTTGCTAACTTTCATAAGAATTCTGAGTATTGTACTGAACTTTTGTCTATTCTGTATGATGTCCTCGGGTTTGCCTTCCTGATCGCAGTTCGTGGGATGATGTACTACCACAAAGCACTTCAGCTTCAGGCATTTTTGGACGAAGCTACAGATGATGGTGAGGCCACTTTTTGTTTATTTGATTCATCTAGTTCCATAATTGCATCTAGACTTGAACCTGGGACTGTGTTTCAACAGTTCATGGGTGTACCAATTGAGTCAGGATGGTGAGGTCACTTCCTTCGTCCTTGGGTTTAGTAAACTTTATTTTTGTTGTTTCTTCATGCAAGGATGACACACACAAATCATGACATGGTCGATATGGCTTTGAAAAAGGTGCATAGGCTCATATAGAGTCTATAGAGTCAATAGACCATATTGACCAGCCAACATTGAGGTCATGTCTTCACATCCTGAATGGTACACCTGTGTGTAAGTGTTTGATGTCCAACTCTTTACTTGGTTCTTCAAAAGTCTGTGTTCACCACTGTGTAACTCTTCAAAACGCCAGGAGCTTGCTTCTTCTTTTTACCGTGAACCAATCTGCGTTTGGAGGGAGGTCAGCCTCAGTGCATGTGACAGTGTGTTACGTGTAATGTCATGTGATTCAGTTTCTGTCGGTCATTTACAGTAGGAGGCCCCTTTTCAGCTTCTGCCGTAGGTTTTGAATGGCAGTAACCGAAACCCATGCATTGTTAAACAACCAGAATCTGGGCTTGGAGGGAGCCTGACCTTTCAGCTTCTGCCATTTTTGCATTTGCAAAATGGCAACAATGTCTGGCGCATTGTTGGCAACATGGAAAATTCATAAATCGAATTGTAAATTTTGTGATGTCATTGTGCAAGCAACCAAGCGATGAGCATCTAATTTTTCTTTTGTTGAGAAAGACGCAAAGTACAGCAAGCAAATGAGAGTAAAATTGAAAGCAGGTCACAAGCCAAAATCACACCAGATGAGAACATTGCAATGAACCTCCCAGTTCAACACCAGTGAGTGCACATATTCACACCACAAGCATGTATGAGTTCACACGAAATTCATACTGGAGACCAGAGAGATGAAGACCAGGTAGCGCAGCTTAAAAATTCCAACGAGTTACACAAGAGCAATAAGAGTTCCAAGTCACCAGCGCTTATCAGCACTTGTCAAAGGTAACCAATATCCAGCACAGCTCTCAGGTAAGATTCTCTTCTCCCACTGCTCTTCTCCCTCTTGTATCTCCCCTCCTTATTAGTCTTGCAATAACCCATGCCATATGTCTCGTGGAATTGAGGGTCATCAGAAAGCCTGCTTGGCCGCCCTCAGCCCAGGCCGAATAAGGGCAGAAAAGGCCCTTCATGAATTCAGGACGTGGGCGTGTGACAGTTGACTTCGGTCAACTGTCGGTCCACCCAACAGTCAAAGTCCAAAGGTACCTAGCCCAGGCCGCAGGTCAAGCACACACATTTGTTTGTATGCAGGTACCCAGACAGCATCAGGTCCAAGGGAGAAGTCTGCAACTGTACAATTCGGGCCTTGAGATGTGAGTCAATCTGGACGACTGGAGGAGAGGCACCCGAGGCCAGACAGCCTCGAAGACTTCTACTTAAGGCTGGCCTCGAGCGAGTCAAGCATTCAGTCTGGCTATGCTGTTTTGACACTGGCTCGACTTTTGACTAGACGCTGGCTTCATGCTGGCGCCACGCTGGCTACAAGCTAGCTGTGCACAGGTGTTGCGGACGACGGCACGGGAAGAAGGGAGCATGCTAGCATTCGCCAGGCAATGCTGATGTGGCGCTGCCTCTGGTATATGTGGCGCTGCCTCTGGTCTTCATGGCATGCTGATGTGGCGCTGCCTCTGGTCTTCATGGCATGCTGATGTGGTGCTGCCTCTGGTCTACGTGGCATGCTGACGTGATGCTGCCCTGGTATATGTGGCGCTGCTATTGGTCTACATTGTTGATGTGGCGTATGCCACCTGTCTTGGTTGCTGACGTGGCATTGTCCACGCTGTCTACATGAGGTGACTGGTTGCGAGGAAGAGGAAGATCGGGATCTGTGGACGTAGAGAATTGGGTACTCACCTGTGGCTGACGTCGTCACTGGAAATCTGCTGTGTCTTCAAAGTCTTCAAGAGATGAAGTGCCACGTGGCACTATTGTATGTGACCAGGATTATTCTTATTATTATTGATGATGTAGTGTGGAAAGAAGCCCGGAGAAAGAGAGCGATCTTAAGGGTTCTGTGTATTCTCTCTTCCTCTCCTTTGTCTATTCTCCTTCCACTTCTCTTTTTGATAATGAATTACTGATTGAGATATCACTTCACGATCTGGAGACTTTCATGCAGATATTGAAACTACTGTGATTGACGACTTCTGAGTATCTGTCAGACTGGGTTCATTGCAGTCTTCTCTCTAGCTATGTCCTCGCTGAGTCTTCTCTCACTACATGCATGCACACACACTTACTACTACTCAAGAATCTACTCTGAATACACCCACTGTCAACCCTACTAACTCTCTGAAGACTACTGCTAGATACTAACACTAACACCCTGCACTGGCGCAGCTATGGCTGCCTTTCTTCTGCCAGCGCTATCTTCCTCTCACTCTCTCCCTCTTTGAACAGCACTCTGGCTTCAGCGCTCTGCCCTTAACATTAGCGCACAAGTGTACCAGCACTTCCACACTCTTTGCGAATGAGCAATCTGCCCGAATGTGAGGCTGGCCAGTCCTTTTGTAGTCTTGGTTTGCACTCCAACTCGTGCCAGCCTCTGTTTCTTGGGTCCTGACTGGTTCCGGTACCACATCCCCTTGGCCTGTCTGCTTCTGAATGTCAAGGCCTCGAACCGTCCGGAATTTCCATTGGACTGCTGCTGCTTGGGCCTTTGAGTCGTGACTTTTCACTTGTGAACATGACTTTTGACTGTGGATAGTGACTCCTGCCTGTGGGTCACGACTTTTGCCTGTGATACTGCCTTTACTCGAGGGATGTGACTCTTCAATGTGACTTTTCATTAGGAAACGTGACTCGTGCCTTTGAGACATGACTCCTTGTGAATCTGCCTTTTCACTCGTGGGGTGTCTCTTTTGAAATGGCTTTAATTATGAGACTTGACTCTTGTCCCTGAGATGTGACTGTTTGCTGGGTGCCTGTTGGACCAGACTTCTGATGTACCCGATTGTGACTTTTCTGAGTTTGACGAACTTAGCCTCTTCTTGGCCTGGGCATCTGACCCTGAGATCCGAATTTGGGGTCTGAATCATGGAAGGCCTTTCAACACAATTATCATGGAGTGTCTTGATACGAAAGCCCAACAACTCGCCTCAAAATATCAAAACAACAACAATAATATGGATGTTCTCTTTAGTGTAGCCGCATATATTACTCCCTATCGTACTCTATTTACTTCCTACTTCATCCTATCTCTATCTTCTCTCATAGTCTTTGCGCTCATCTTTCTCCCTACTGACGCTCTTCGGGCATCATCGGGTATGTCCCACTGCACGTCGCTGTTCCTCTTCCCATCATCCTCCCAATCCCCCGTACACCCCATCTTCATCCCGAGAAGCTATGGCTGCCACACGGAGATCCCTTTGACTGCATCGTCTCTCTTGCCTTCTCCGTTAACGCCGCGGGCTCTGCCAGCTTCCGCTGCGCTATTTTTAGCACACTTAGCCAGCAATCTTCCGAAGTGTCAGAGTGTCCCTCAGCAGCGGCCTCCAATGCTTTTGTCAAGCAGTTGCGTCATCGAGTACTGTTGCGTGGGCTGCTTCCTTGCAGCACAGGATGCTCCTAATCAGCTTCCATAGGCCGCGGCAGTTGCTTGTCTGCTTGGCAGTTACTTTTGCAACCGGCCTTCACTTGGGGGGGGGGGGCAATCTGTACAGGCGGGGCCGGGGGGCAAATCGGTACTGTGGTACGTTTGCATTTGTGCCAAAATGCGAAAATCAAATCAAATGAAAGGCACTTGCAGTGAATGGGCAGCCCCTCACAGCCGGTGCCAAGGGAATTACGATTTTATCTGTTTTCCTTTTCAGTGTTTTCACTGAAATCATCAGTGAAATGTGCTTTGCTTTTTTTTTTTTTTTTTTTTGGATGCTCACAGGATCCACCCCAACCCACCTCTTTGTTCTTCTTCCTTAGCGTAACTCATGCTTCCCCATATAGGGGGCTACTTGTTGGCCCTACCTCGGATATACCGGACAGCAGTTGCAGGCACCAGCGCTAGGCCAGGACAACCTCTCCCAGCCCTAGTTGAAGCTCTGTCGAACGAGCCCTGTCGCACGGGTACTTTGGTCGCCAGGCATGATCGTCCTAGACGCTTTTTTTTTCCTACGAGCACCAGCCCGGGTTTGTCAGACAGCGAGTATTCCATAGGGCCACCCCTCGGCAGTGTCTAGTGGTCCTACACTGACCAAGGTCTTACCCGAGGCAGCCCCTGACCCAATCCGGGCGACATGTTCCTAGCATAGCCTACTATTGCCGTATTTGGGGTTGTGTTATCGTTGTGGTTAGTTATCTGATTCATATTGATGGGCCAAGGTTATTGATCCCACAACCCGCACCAGTTCATCACAAGGCCAATTCCTGCCATGGAAAACCACTGGCCCATCACCCCTTGCACCCTCAGTTGGTTATTAGTCATGGGTTGTGAACCCAGGCCAGTCCGGAACCATATGTTTCCTCGGAGACATCCCTAGGCAGTGTCTTACCCAAGCCAACTCTTTACCAGTCTGGGTGTCTATCGGGATTATGTTATGGTTGATATGGGTACCACTCCAGGCAAGTGCGGAACCGAATGTTTCCGCAGAGCTATCTAGGCACTGTCTTACCGAAGCCAACTCTAGACCCAGCCTATTGCATCTCCAGGCCAGTCCGGAACCGAATGTTTCCACGGAGCTACCCCAGTGTTGCATGTTGAGCCTGCCACACAGGCCCCATTTTGGGCGCCCGGCGGTTGTTGGGAGCCCCAAGGCCTTGCACCCATTTGACACACGCGACCTGGAGGCCCACGGCCATCCTGGTGGGCCAGGCACGTTGCTGTGACTTCCAGGCCTTTCTTTTAGTCAGCATTTATTCATTTATTTATCTATTTATTTATTTATTTGCTGACTTTTTGTTCGTTCCATTTCTGTCTGTTCCAGGGCGTCGTTTCAGACTTTGCAGTATGTCCGAACGGAATAGTGTCTGTTCGGACCATGGCCACGTTTTGGGCCTCTGGGAGGCCAGGTTCGTGACTGGGCCATTTGAGGCCAGGTACGGAATTGTCCGGTAATGGACTACTTCTGCTGCATCAGCAGGAGAGCCTGGACGTCCGGTAGGGACCCAGGCAGGCTGTTTTCAGGCCTTAGGACCAAGAGCAGGACTTGGGCCTGAAATCTGAGCCATTGATCGGACTTCAGATCCGATGACCCAGATTGCAGACTGTGGGCATTGCAGCCAGGCCCAGCACTATGTCTAGCTGGGCCAGCCCAGTTCCTGAACAGACAGGAGTACCCACTCCTTTGGGCGACATGCTGTTGGAGCAGCGCACTATTTTCAGCACTGCGCTAAGTTGAGGTAGAGGCGTAGAGGCTAGGAGAGGTGAGGGAGAGGCGATGGCCATACCTGCGTGGTGCGAGCAGCTTACCTGGGCCCCATAACTGGTTCCTTCACCAGCGACCTGCAGCACAGAGAGGCATGTCGGTTTGTAAGTCCACGGCGGCAGTTACCTGCAGGTGAGACAGTGGAGAGGTGGGCATCTTCGTATTCTTCTTCTTTGTGTGTGTGTGTGTGTGTGTGTGAGGGAGGGAGGGAGAGAGAGAGAGAGAGAGAGAGAGAGAGAGAGAGAGAGAGAGAGAGAGAGAGAGAGAGAGAGAGAGAGAGAGAGAGAGAGA